GCATTCACACACCCTGCATACCTCATTCACACACCCTCACCTCATTCACACACCCTCACCGCATTCACACACCCTCACCGCATTCACACACCCTCACCGCATTCACACACCCTCACCTCATTCACACACCCTCACCGCATTCACACACCCTCACCGCATTCACACACCCTCACCGCATTCACACACCCTCACCTCATTCACACACCCTCACCACATTCACACACCCTCACCTCATTCACACACCCTCACCTCATTCACACACCCTCACCGCATTCACACACCCTCACCGCATTCACACACCCTCACCTCATTCACACACCCTCACCTCATTCACACACCCTCACCGCATTCACACACCCTCACCGCATTCACACACCCTCACCGCATTCACACACCCTCACCTCATTCACACACCCTCACCGCATTCACACACCCTCACCTCATTCACACACCCTCACCTCATTCACACACCCTCACCGCATTCACACACCCTCACCTCATTCACACACCCTCACCTCATTCACACACCCTCACCGCATTCACACACCCTCACCGCATTCACACACCCTCACCGCATTCACACACCCTCACCGCATTCACACACCCTCACCTCATTCACACACCCTCACCTCATTCACACACCCTCACCGCATTCACACACCCTCGCTTCATTCACACACCCTCGCCTCATTCACACACCCTCACCGCATTCACACACCCTCACCTCATTCACACACCCTCACCGCATTCACACACCCTCACCTCATTCACACACCCTCACCTCATTCACACACCCTCACCGCATTCACACACCCTCACCTCATTCACACACCCTCACCTCATTCACACACCCTCACCTCATTCACACACCCTCACCTCATTCACACACCCTCACCGCATTCACACACCCTCACCGCATTCACACACCCTCACCGCATTCACACACCCTCACCGCATTCACACACCCTCACCTCATTCACACACCCTCACCTCATTCACACACCCTCACCGCATTCACACACCCTCACCTCATTCACACACCCTCACCTCATTCACACACCCTCACCGCATTCACACACCCTCACCGCATTCACACACCCTCACCGCATTCACACACCCTCACCGCATTCACACACCCTCACCGCATTCACACACCCTCACCTCATTCACACACCCTCACCGCATTCACACACCCTCACCGCATTCACACACCCTCACCGCATTCACACACCCTCACCGCATTCACACACCCTCACCGCATTCACACACCCTCACCGCATTCACACACCCTCACCGCATTCACACACCCTCACCGCATTCACACACCCTCACCGCATTCACACACCCTCACCGCATTCACACACCCTCACCGCATTCACACACCCTCACCTCATTCACACACCCTCACCTCATTCACACACCCTCACCGCATTCACACACCCTCACCGCATTCACACACCCTCACCTCATTCACACACCCTCACCTCATTCACACACCCTCACCTCATTCACACACCCTCACCGCATTCACACACCCTCACCGCATTCACACACCCTCACCGCATTCACACACCCTCACCTCATTCACACACCGTCACTTCATTCACACACCCTCACCGCATTCACACACCCTCACCTCATTCACACACCCTCACCTCATTCACACACCCTCACCGCATTCACACACCCTTGCTGCATTCACACACCCTCACCGCATTCACACACCCTCACCGCATTCACACACCCTCACCGCATTCACACACCCTCACCGCATTCACACACCCTCACCTCATTCACACACCCTCACCTCATTCACACACCCTCACCGTATTCACACACCCTTACCTCATTCACACACCCTCACCGCATTCACACACCCTCACCTCATTCACACACCCTCACCTCATTCACACACCCTCACCTCATTCACACACCCTCACCGCATTCACACACCCTCACCGCATTCACACACCCTCACCTCATTCACACACCCTCACCGCATTCACACACCCTCACCGCATTCACACACCCTCACCTCATTCACACACCCTCACCTCATTCACACACCCTCACCGCATTCACACACCCTCACCTCATTCACACACCCTCACCTCATTCACACACCCTCACCGCATTCACACACCCTCACCGCATTCACACACCCTCACCGCATTCACACACCCTCACCGCATTCACACACCCTCACCGCATTCACACACCCTCACCTCATTCACACACCCTCACCGCATTCACACACCCTCACCGCATTCACACACCCTCACCTCATTCACACACCCTCACCTCATTCACACACCCTCACCGCATTCACACACCCTCACCTCATTCACACACCCTCACCTCATTCACACACCCTCACCGCATTCACACACCCTCACCTCATTCACACACCCTCACCTCATTCACACACCCTCACCGCATTCACACACCCTCACCGCATTCACACACCCTCACCGCATTCACACACCCTCACCGCATTCACACACCCTCACCTCATTCACACACCCTCACCTCATTCACACACCCTCACTTCATTCACACACCCTCACCGCATTCACACACCCTCACCTCATTCACACACCCTCACCTCATTCACACACCCTCACCGCATTCACACACCCTCGCTTCATTCACACACCCTCACCGCATTCACACACCCTCACCGCATTCACACACCCTCACCGCATTCACACACCCTCACCTCATTCACACACCCTCACCTCATTCACACACCCTCACCTCATTCACACACCCTCACCGCATTCACACACCCTCACCTCATTCACACACCCTCACCTCATTCACACACCCTCACCGCATTCACACACCCTCACTTCATTCACACACCCTCACCGCATTCACACACCCTCACCGCATTCACACACCCTCACCGCATTCACACACCCTCACCGCATTCACATACCCTCACCGCATTCACACACCCTCACCTCATTCACACACCCTCACCTCATTCACACACCCTCACCGCATTCACACACCCTCACCGCATTCACACACCCTCACCTCATTCACACACCCTCACCTCATTCACACACCCTCACCTCATTCACACACCCTCACCTCATTCACACACCCTCACCGCATTCACACACCCTCACCTCATTCACACACCCTCACCTCATTCACACACCCTCACCGCATTCACACACCCTCACCGCATTCACACACCCTCACCGCATTCACACACCCTCACTGCATTCACACACCCTCACCTCATTCACACACCCTCACCTCATTCACACACCCTCACCGCATTCACACACCCTCACCTCATTCACACACCCTCACCTCATTCACACACCCTCACCGCATTCACACACCCTCACCTCATTCACACACCCTCACCTCATTCACACACCCTCACCGCATTCACACACCCTCACCGCATTCACACACCCTCACCTCATTCACACACCCTCACCTCATTCACACACCCTCACCTCATTCACACACCCTCACCGCATTCACACACCCTCACCTCATTCACACACCCTCACCTCATTCACACACCCTCACCGCATTCACACACCCTCACTTCATTCACACACCCTCACCGCATTCACACACCCTCACCGCATTCACACACCCTCACCGCATTCACACACCCTCACCGCATTCACACACCCTCACCGCATTCACACACCCTCACCTCATTCACACACCCTCACCTCATTCACACACCCTCACCGCATTCACACACCCTCACCGCATTCACACACCCTCACCTCATTCACACACCCTCACCTCATTCACACACCCTCACCTCATTCACACACCCTCACCTCATTCACACACCCTCACCGCATTCACACACCCTCACCTCATTCACACACCCTCACCGCATTCACACACCCTCACCTCATTCACACACCCTCACCTCATTCACACACCCTCACCGCATTCACACACCCTCACCGCATTCACACACCCTCACCTCATTCACACACCCTCACCTCATTCACACACCCTCACCGCATTCACACACCCTCACCGCATTCACACACCCTCACCGCATTCACACACCCTCACCGCATTCACACACCCTCACCTCATTCACACACCCTCACCTCATTCACACACCCTCACCTCATTCACACACCCTCACCGCATTCACACACCCTCACCTCATTCACACACCCTCACCTCATTCACACACCCTCACCGCATTCACACACCCTCACCTCATTCACACACCCTCACCTCATTCACACACCCTCACCTCATTCACACACCCTCACCGCATTCACACACCCTCACCGCATTCACACACCCTCACCTCATTCACACACCCTCACCTCATTCACACACCCTCACCTCATTCACACACCCTCACCTCATTCACACACCCTCACCGCATTCACACACCCTCACCTCATTCACACACCCTCACCTCATTCACACACCCTCACCGCATTCACACACCCTCACCTCATTCACACACCCTCACCTCATTCACACACCCTCACCTCATTCACACACCCTCACCGCATTCACACACCCTCACCGCATTCACACACCCTCACCTCATTCACACACCCTCACCTCATTCACACACCCTCACCTCATTCACACACCCTCACTTCATTCACACACCCTCACCTCATTCACACACCCTCACCGCATTCACACACCCTCACCTCATTCACACACCCTCACCGCATTCACACACCCTCACCTCATTCACACACCCTCACCTCATTCACACACCCTCACCGCATTCACACACCCTCACCGCATTCACACACCCTCACCGCATTCACACACCCTCACCTCATTCACACACCCTCACCGCATTCACACACCCTCACCTCATTCACACACCCTCACCTCATTCACACACCCTCACCGCATTCACACACCCTCACCTCATTCACACACCCTCACCTCATTCACACACCCTCACCGCATTCACACACCCTCACCGCATTCACACACCCTCACCTCATTCACACACCCTCACCTCATTCACACACCCTACATACCTCTTCCCCCTCCAGTGCTTCTAGCAGGTCTCGGTAATACTCCTTGTGGTATGGATCGATCCCCACCAGCCGCCGAAGCAACGACCGAACCTCCTTGCAAGCCTCGGCATCTTGCCGAGCCTGCACGGGTAGGTTCGGCAAAAGGTGGTGGAGCTGGCGGCGGGTGGACAGGAGGCGGGCGAGAGAGAGGAGAGCCCACTTGCTGGAAGAGCGAGGGGGGGGGAAGAAGTATAGGGGTGGAGGGGGGAGGGGGGAGAGTGGGGGGAGGGGGGAGAGCAGGGGGACTTTTGACTCAATGAGGGAATAGGAGGCGGGTGAGGGAGAGAAGAGCCAACTTGCTGGAACAAAGGAAAGAGAGGGCGGGAACGGGGGGGTTAGGGGGAAGAGTGGGAGTCACATTGAAAAGGAGGGACAAGTGGAAACAAGTAGGGACACGTGGGAACGCGTGGGGAGAGGGGGGAGAGCGGGGATTACGGTGTGAGGGCCATTCGAGCAGAGCCCACTTGCTGTGAGAGGTTGGGTAATGCGGGAGGGGACACTAGGGGGCGGTTGGGTAATGCGGGAGGGGACACTAGGGGGCGGTTGGGTAATGCGGGAGGGGACACTAGGGGGCGGGGACTGAGGGAAGATCTGAGAAGTTGACTAAAGTGGAGCGGAGACGAGGGGGCGAGGCTAGAGCCCTGTAAACAATGAAGTTTTGAGACGTCTCGAAAATTCATTGCTTACACATGGAGCGGAGACGAGGGAGAGAGACTAGAGCCCTTTTTTGAGGCGCCTCAAAAGTGGAGCGGAGACGAGGGAGAGAGACTGGAGCCATTTAGCCCATTTGCTGCAAGGATGGGGAGAAGGAGGGGAGGGGCGAGTGGGGAGGGGGACAGGGGCAGGAGAGGGCCCACACACACGCACCTGTCTGGTTCCAAATCAATGAGCTCGCGACACATGTCAATCTCCCGTTGGACCACGTCCACTCGCCATTGCTCGCCGCCTCCTGCAGCACCGCTAGCACTAGCCGCAGCACCACTGGCAGCAGCATCGCCAGCAGCAGCAGCAGCAGCAGCAGGAGCAGCAGGGGTGGAAGGCGAAGGGGAGGAGGAGGGCCAGCGGAAGTTGGACCAGTCGTGAGTGGGAGCATTCATGGGCGGCACAGTCGCATGCGTGTGAGTGCCATTGGTCCTACAAGAACCATCCATCAGCGGCTGTAACGTGACCATTGGCAGACTCAAAGAGCTTCCTTGCAGCTGCAACGTGAAGCTGTTGCTGCTGTTGCTGCTGTTGCGGCCGTTGCTGTCTGTGTGGGAGTGCAGGAGGGACTGGCCAGTGGCAGCAGAGAGGATGGTGGATGGATGGGTGAACACCCATGAGACCAGGATGGTGGATGACGAGGCAGCCGCAGCGGTTTCCGTCCCACCTACAGCAGCAGCAGCAGCGGCATCAGTAGCCGTAGCAGTGGCGGCAGCAGCAGCAGCAGCAGCAGCAGCAGCAGCATCATCAGTTGCTGTAACAGCAGCAGCAGCATCAGTAGCTGCAGCAGTAGCAACAGAATTGATGTCATGAGACGCAGAGCAAACAACTTGTGCCGTCCATACAGATGCACTCTCCGACCCCAAATTGCCGCCCGCTTCCCTCCCGCACCCAGCTTGCCGCCCGGAAAGCCACGCCTCTTGTCCCCCCACAGCCTTCCACTCACCCACCTCCAGCCCAGCCCCTGTTAGAGTCACACTCTCTCTTGTCACCCCAACCACTGGTTCGGAGAACACCAGCACTGCAGACATCCGAACCTGGCCCGCAGCTCCGGCAGAGGCTTCGGAAACGCCCTCCACAGCTGCAGAATCGCCTCCAGGAGATATCTCAGGTGGATTTTCAGGTGAGGAGAAGCACACAGTGCTTCCAGGTGAAGGCCAGGAGGCGAGGAGGTGGGGCGGCAGGGGAGGCAGGATCTGCTGCAGCAGCCAGTGTTGGTACATCCACCCACTCTGATCGTCAGGCTCGGTAAAAAAGGCCTGGCGGACCAGCTCACACTCCTCCTCCAATGCCGCCTGGGGCAACCCGCCTGCCTCGGAGGGTGCTTGGCTTGAGTGGAGTTTTGGTAGCAGCTTGCTGTGGGGCGCGGGAGAGAACGAGAAGGGAAACGGGAGAGATAGGAGGCTCGGTAAAAAAGGCCTGGGGTGGGGCAACCCCCCTGCCTCTGAATCAGTGGGTGTGGGTGGTGATCGCGCATGGAGCTTCAGCAGCAGCTTGCTGTGGGGCGCGGGAGAGAACAAAAAGGGAAACGGGAGAGATAGGAGGCTCGGTGAAGAAGGCCTGGCGCACCAACTCACACTCCTCCAGTGCTCCCTGGGGTGGGGCAACCCCTCTGCCTCTGAATCAGTGGGTGTGGGTGGTGATCGTGCATGGAGCTTCAGCAGCAGCTTGCTGTGGGAAGGAGATGGAGAGGTGAAGGGAGAAAATGAAGAGAGAGAGGGGCAGAGAGAGAGACGGACAAGAGGAGACGGGTGGGTTGAGCGAGGGCAGTGGGAGCAGCCAGTGGTGGAACATCCACCCGCTCTGATTGGCTTTTGAGTCGATTCAAAAGGTGACTTCTGAGTAGAGGTGACTTCTGGGTTGGGGGGTACTTTTGAGTCGACTCAAAAGTCACAGCGAGGGCAGTGGGAGCAGCCAGTGGTGGAACATCCACCCGCTCTGATTGATGAAGTGGGCGTTGATTCTTTCGATGGTTAAACCCTGGACCTTGCAACGTTTCAACCTGCAGCGTTTCAACCAGTGCAGTGCGCTTGCACAGAACGCTTGCGCAGATGCTCACCTGCGGCTGTGCCACGCGCTGTAGTTGCTGAAGTTGGCGTTGATTCGCTCCATGGTGAATGCCAGGTCCTTGGCTGGTGACATGCGGGCCACATGCGATATGAACCTGCATGCATGGTTTGGATCGGATGGGATGGGATGGGATGGGATGGGATGGGATGGGATGGGATGGGATGGGATGGGATGGGATGCGATGGGATGCGATGGGATGGGATGCGATGGGATGCGATGGGATGGGATGCGATGGGATGGGATGGGATGGGATGGGATGGGATGGGATGGGATGGGATGGGATGGGATGGGATGGGATGGGATGGGATGAGCACCAGCAGCAAAGGAGACAAAGTGTGGTCCTTGGATGGCGGCACGCAAGCCATACTCGAGATGAACCTGCATGCATGGTTGGCACGGGCGCAGGGAAGGGCCAGCAAAGAGATTGGCAACGAACGTGGCGGAGCTGGGTGGCCCTGAGAAGTCCTTCGTGGCATGCGAGCACGGTTGTATTGTAACCCCACAGCACCTACATTACCACCATACACATCCATCATCACCGCCCTCAATCCCTCTCCACCGTTACCTCCAGTAGTCCCAGGCGTGGAAGTTCCGATCATCTGCACTCAGCATCATCCCCAGCAGCTTTTGCTCCCGGGCAATCCGAGCCTCCGTCCGCAGATTGATCCGAACCTGCTGCAGGTTTGGCCCGAGGCTGGCTCCGAGGCTCGGGAGAGGCTCGGTGGCGGAGAGGGCGAAGAGCCACTTGCGGTGGTGCCAGGCGCCGTAGCACTTTGGGTTGGTCCGTAGTGCTGCTTCTATCTGTTGTGCATGCGTGTGGGAAGTTGGGTTGGTGGAGGGGGAGAGTTATAGGATAAATTTCCAAGGTGACTCAAGAGCCACTTGCGGTGGTGCCAGGCACCGTAGCACATTGAATTGGTCTGTAGCGCTGCTTCTATCCTTTGTGAGTGTGGGGGACGAAAGGAATAACAGGGGGGGGGGGGGGCGCGGAGGAGGAGGAGAGGGGAAAGAGCCACTTGCGGTGGTGCCAGGCGCCATAGCACTTGAGGTTGGTCTGTAGCGTTGCTTCTATCTGATGTGAGTGTGTGAGGGGAGTTGGGTTGGAGAGGGAGAGTTAAGGATAGATTCCTGAGGTGACTCAAAAGCCACTTGCGGCAGTGCCAGCCAGGCGCCATAGCACTTGAGGTTGGTCCGGAGCGCTGCTTCTATCTGTTGTGTGTTTTGGGGAAGTGTTGGAAAGGGAGGGAGGGGATGGAGGGGGTTGAGGAGAGACGGAGATTTTTTAATCGACTCACTAGGCACTTTGTTGCTACAATGGTACGGTCAATCACACTCCCACCACCCACCAGTTTCAGCTCTTCGTCAGCAAGCTTCCCCTTAGCTTCTGAGAGTCTTAGGACGCGGTAAAAGTGCAAATATCACAGGCTCGTCTGCAAATACCGAGCCCCACAATCGATTGGGCAGATCGATTGGCGAAACGCGGCGATCGCGACATTGTAGCGATCGCCACTGAGAATTGACAAATCTCCCGCGATCAGTGATCAGTCGCATTCACGCACTCTACAAAAAAATTGGCCAAAAAACGTACTGTAGCATGGTTACAGTCTAGCTAATAGGGTAACCAATCTGCACATCGATCGCGACTGACGATCGATCGTCTACTTTTACCGCGTCCTTAAGGGCAACTCAGTTTAGCATGGATAATGCCAACAGTATCGTACTGTCACTCACTCCCACCACCCACCAGTTTCAGCTCTTCGTCAGCAAGCTTCCCCTTTGCTTCCTCTATCTTCCTTTCCTCTTCCCTCCTCTCCTCTTCCTTCCTCGTCCTCTCCTCTCCCCTCCTCGTCTTCTCCTCTCGCTCCCTCTCCACCCTCTCCTGCTCCTCTCCCTGCTTCCCATCATTCTCTCCCCCAACTTCACTCTCCTCCCCATTGCCATCCCTCCCTCCTGCACTCTCCGCCTCCTCCACTGCTCCACCCGTCCCAACCTTTCCCTCCCCTGATCCCCCCTCTCCCTTTGCCTCTTTCCCCCCCTCCCCCTGTCCCTCTTTCCCCTCCTCCTCCTTCCCCTGCCCATCTTTCCCCTGCCCCTCTTTCCCCTGCGCCTCCTTCTCCCCCTCTTTCACCTCCGCACCCCTTTGCACCGCTTTCCCCTCCCTGCTCCCATCCGTCCCTGCCTCCAGAGCGCCGCATCGGTGCACAAAGGCCTTCTTGCGGTAGTTCCACGTCACATACACGTCGGGGTTTTGCTCCAAAAGCGCTGCACTGGCTGCTAGCGCTTCTGGCGAATAACTGCAAGGCAAAGAGGGAGGGTAGAGGGAGGGGAATGAAGGAAGGCCCTCTTGCGGCAGTTCCACGTCACATACACGTCACATACACGTCACATACACGTCAGGATTTTGCTCCAGCAGAGTAGCGCTGGCTGCTAGTGCCTCCGGTGAGTAACTGATGGAAAGTGGTACGGCAGGAGGGAGGGGATGGGGAGGAAGCTCTTTTGCGCCACGTGCACATCAGGGTTCTGCTCCAGTAGAGCAGCGCTGGCGGGTTGAGGGAGGGGGGTGGGCGGTGGGGGGGAGGGGAGGGGGAGGGGAGGGGAAGGGGAGAGGGAGGAAGCCTTTTTGCGCCACGTGCACATCAGGGTTCTGCTCCAGTAGAGCAGCGCTGGCGGGTGGAGGGAGAGGGGAGAAAGCTTCTTCGCGGTAGATTTATGGGAATGCGATGCGTGGGGCTGCACTAAATTTCACTTTGCAAATCCTGATAGCTGAGTCGAATGTAAAGCATCTTGCAAACCCGATCAGTGCAAACTACCATTTAAGCAAGCCGCCTCTACCAGTGGCATTTTAGCAACCACCTCTGCCACTCACACGTTCTGCTGGTGCCACGTCAGCACCTTCTCCTGCAAGGCGCGCAGCCGAAGCGCCTTTTTGTTCGACTCCGCCGCCTTCTGCTGGCCCGCGGCGCTGCCCTCCGCCTTCACCGTCACTCGCGGCCGACCGTGCATCGCGACGATCGACGATCAACGATCAACACTCAAATATCAACACTCAACAGTCGCGACTATCGACGATCAACAGACGCGACGCTTAACGATCGCGTCGATAAATTGAATCGTCGTTTGGATGATTGCATTAATTCGAATGCCAAAACATGCCCGGTATCTCCTTGCCTCATACGCAAACCCCCTTCGCCGTCACTCGCGGCCGACCGTGGATCTCCCGGAAAGCTCGCAATCTCGGCGAATTATAATAAATCGCGACATCCGCGACAACATCCCACGACGATTGCTGGTAGAGACTATCAGATAACCGAAGGAAATATACAGCAGGAACAGTCTGGTCTGGTCTAAGGACGGGTCAACTCCTGCAAAATCTGGCGATCGATCCTGCGCAGGTTCGATTTTTGACTGGGTTAGAAAAGGTTCTTACACATTATGGATGCAACTGCGGGATTTCAGTGCGGGGACGATCGATGTTGCAAGATCGATCGCCGTTTCTGCAGGAGTTGACGCGTCCTAGCCTCTGGAGCAGGCACTCTAGTTGGACTGCTGTTGTGAAGCAAATGCGCGGGAAACAGGGATGCTGACAGAAAATGGCGAATGGCGATTGTCGGCACCTTGGGAGAGCCTAGCGAATGGATATACGCAATTTTGTATTAGTCGTTACACCTTCTGGCGTATGAACGAATTACCTTGCTAAACTGTTCATGGCGCATATGAATTTTTTTTTCTGAATTTCAGATTGGAAAAGTAGCTCAGGTTTGAGAATAGCCCCTTTCATACGTTCTTAACCAAGTCATTAATGGAGGGTGATGGTGGTGCAGGTTGTGCTGGTGATGGTGGTATTAGTTATGCTGGTGATGGTGATGCGATGCTGCTCTTGGGGAAGGTTATGTTGGTAGAATGATGAAGCTGACGAATGGAAAAGTTGATCGCAAATCCTTCTTACTATAATTAATTTCAGGAGAACATAATTAAACCTCCAAAACTTATATGGACCCTACGTTCCATAACTGAAAATATATCCATTTATTCTTAACTGTGAGTCCCTCCACTTGTAAGTTTGATCTCCCATCCAAGTCATTATTCAGTAGCCAATGCAAGCACTCCAAACGAGGAGTCGGAGTAGCAGGACCTAACTTGCCAACAATTCTTGATTCCAGTTTTAGCCCCCGTTCTGTGCTTGAATCTGGCACGAATTAGTAATCAGGTCGAAGTTAGCTTCAACCATGAACCGCATCCCATCGTTCCCAACCATGTTGTAGTCGTACGTATTACCATCACTATCAGTGTCCTGGGAAACATCGCCATACTGCCACGCGCACATATATGCATTCTCTTCCCCGTCCAAAGCCATCCATCCGAACGAGACGTCAGGATCGGTAGCAGCCTCGGTGATTTCGTGAGCAATGGTGGAGATCATGTTGTCGATTCCGGGCATGCTATTGGGCAAGTAGCTTGATGGGTAAGAGGGTGTAGAGAAGGGCAGGCGAGTTAATAGGCGAGTTATTGATTCAAGGGTGGCGCAGAAAGTGGTAATAGGTGAGTTGGGGACTACATTCTACGTTGAGTATTGTAGATGAAGCGGAAGAAGAATGTACCTGTGCATTCTCTCACTCGCTCAGCTCTACTCCTCGTCCTATAACAAGCAATAACACTCACTCCCATTTTTGTCAATCTCATTATAGCAAGGAGCAGCACTCACTCGCTGTATTTGCAACAGTTGTCATGGCTCCCGATGAAACCAACAGCGACATTGTCCCCCGAGTCCAAAGTATGTTGAGTGTGGAATCCGCAGAAGCTGTCACAGAATCCATCAACCTGGACGTTAGAACTCGTCAACACGAGGTAGATTCTATCCGTTTCTACGAGGAGGTCCGTTCCTGCGTGCGTGTTGACCACTGGAGAAGCAGGGTCAGGGGAGGGAGCGGCGGGGAATGAAAGTGAGAAAGGAGTGAAAGGGTGGGGGCGAGAAAGTAAGATGGAAATACAAGAGGCAGCAGGCAATGATGGCATGCTAAGAGTTCTAGCCGCCTTTTTTTGCTAAAAGTTCCGGAACCAAAACCACACGCATGGCTCACTCGTCCCCAAGTCTATGGATTGCCAGCCATTCCATCGTCCGTCACCGTGCCGCCCAACACAATCTGACTTGGATTCAGGTGGATGCATAGTATGTTGGGTAAAGGCAGCAAGCATGGAAGTGAAGTTAGGTGAGCAGAAAGAAAACGAATGTGAGGAGAGATTAGCAGTTGGCGACAGCCAACGTGACATTGACAGGATCCATCCATCCAACAACGGCTTCAGCTCAGTTGACAACACGCACCGTGTTACACCGTGGCACCGTAACATCCACATCACTAAATGTTGCTTCACTGTGGCAATCCTCCGCTTCTCTCAGAAGGGCAAGGGGCACGAGGCGCGGGGCACTATACACACTCACATCGGGACTGACGAACGTCTGCGGGCCGTCGTTGTTATTCTGGTAGTAGTTGGTCGAGATGTCCCACCAATTACGTACGCTATTCTCCCCCGTCGCGTCACCCTGGTTCCCCGTGTCTCCGCCAAGAGAGTTTATGAACTTTTCGATCACATCCTGCCCCGAACCCTCGGGCCAGTTTCCATAATAGATTAAGTTCACCTTCGGGTTGGCCAATATCGGGCCGCCCTGGTTCGCTATGTCCGTCGCGCCCTCCAGCTCGCGCCACTGCTACTGGAGCTGCAGCTTCCCGAGGCGTGGCTTGAGAGGGGAGAACTGCGTCGCGGACGCGCTCTGAGTCGGTACAGTGGAATCTGGTACTGTTGCGTTTTTGGCGAATCGGCGGCTTGCGCAAATCCCGAAGCCGCGGCGGAAGGGAGAGGGGAAGGCTGCTGGTCCCCCACCCGAGGTGCCTTGACGTCGTTCGGCCGAGTCAATGCCGGGAGTCAACGTAGTGAATCAAACGAACTGGAGAGTGTATGACTGGCGGAATGACATTCCAAGACAAGGTAGTCTCAGGGAGACTCCTTGCAAGGACCGGTAGCAGCGCGGCGCGAAGGCAACAGGATACAAGCGTCGATGCGAAGGTGAAGTGTTGTCGGACGACGAAGTGAGACTATGTTTTGCTTGGATATCATACAAAGCGCGGAACGGATACGCTATCGAACAAAAAGCGTGGAGACACCATTATTACTTTATACCCACTACGCAAGCGGGAAAGCTTGGTTGAGAAAGCAAAGCCCGAGTCGGCTGTTGCACAGCGATTAGCTTTCCGTCTCAGACCAAACGTACAACTGAGGCGCACTTCCCATGCAACGTCACCACGACTGACTGACTGCTAACTGATGCTTATTGCAAACCTGGTGCGGGAAACTTTTGGGCGGGGAAACCATTTCATCGTCGGTTTAACGTCACACTTTTTGGCGGTGGCTCGTCTCTAGTCACGATTATTGGAGGTTGCTCACCCTACAACGGAATCCCAATTGGGTTGTGTGGTGGAGTCACAATTATTGGAGGTAGCTGGTGGTGGTGGTGTGTTGTCGAAGACTTACCTCGCCGAGTCATGAGAGGTCTGAACGAAAACTCCTGAAAAAAATCCAGGGGCGGGGTGGAATGGATTTCAGTGCTTTTCGACTAGAACGACTTCCCTCGGTGTGGTCAGTCGAATCGCGGAGTCCCACACAGACATGCGACTCGCTCGATGTACTACCGTACCTTGATTTTGTTTGAGCTTTGCTGATGAGTTTTGGTGTATGATTGGCATCTTCGCCTGGTCAGTGAATTGTTCGCGAAACACTTCTTAGGGATTCCAAATCGCGGAAACCGGGTTGCCGCACGAATTTCAACACTGGAAGCAGCGAAAAGAGCGAAGAAAATTTATGACGAGATATATACACCACGTTGTGGAAAAACGTTATGTGAAGTTGAAATCAGGAGTTCTCAGCTAACATGATTGTAGATGGATGAATGTAGATGTAATAGAACCTTTTGAGTTCATTGAAATAATAGTATATATATATGTACATATATACATGTGTGTGTATATATATATATATATATATATATATATATATATATATATATATATATATATATATATATATATATATATATATATAGGGATGACAGGTACTGATGGAAGGGCTGCACAACTTCCAAGCAAACACCATCTTGTTCAGCTCCGCCCTCCCCTGGTGCACTATCTCATGTCTTACGGTGCTTCCGTGGCTACTCGCAGATAAATAACGGGCAACGCCAAACGATTTACAACTCGGAAGCTCATTCTGCCTCATGGAACACACTCACGATGCACATATAAATGTCATCCATGAAACTTACAACTCGCATTAAAAGACAACAATTACCAGGAGGGCTAACACGAACGCCATCCTCGCATTGCTATAGAAGGCTCTCACAGCCAATGGCGATGCAGGTTTAAGTGCTGGTGGTGGTGGTGATGGTGGCATTGTTGGTGTTGGTGACTGTGTTGGTGGTGGTGGTGGTGGTGGTGGTGGTGGGGATGGTGGGGATGGGCTGATAGAAGGAGATGGCGGTGATGGTGATGCTGCGGGTGGGGTTGCTGTTGGTGCTGCAGTTGGTGGTTGGGATGGTGGACGTGGCAATGGTGACGATATTGGTCCTGATGGTGATAGAGTTGCTGGTGATGGTGCTAGTGTTGGTGCTGCTGCTGATGGTGCTGCTGGTGGTGGTGATGCTGCTGATGGTGCTGCTGCTGGTGGCTGGATCGGTGGGGCTTGTGGAGCTTTGAGGTTGGCATAGAGGGCATGGAAGGGAAAGAAAGGGGATGACGGATTTCAGCCATGCATCAAGCCACAGAGTAAAAGGACACAAGAGTATTGCAACCGCTGGGGAAACAGCGGAAGTGAAAGAATCGTGGTATGAGATGGCATGGAATGGATGGAAGAAGGGTGAATGAAAGGGGGCTGACAACCATAAGAGCGGCTTTAGTAGCAAGTGGGATATTTTGCAGTTTGAAGAGAAAGACAGATTCAGATGGCACAACTGGATAGTTGCATGACCATATCAGGGGGAGGAAGAGGAAGCGAACCGGTTGAAAAGTTAGAAGAGAGTTTTTGAAATCCTTAGTAAAAGATAGGTGAGCGGCAGGAGGAAGGAAGGCATGGTCTTACCCGGCAGCAGAGCACTGGGAGCAGAGACAAGAAAGCTAGGGGCTTTGAAGCTTTTTGGAATTGTAGGCGAGACATAAGTTTCAGCAGGAAGCTTGAGGGGCTTACCCGCAGCAGAGCACTTGGAGCAGAAGGTGGGGCAGTCGACGCAGAAGACGGAGAGCGGGTCCTGAGGCACCTCGCAGGAGGCTGGGGTGGTGGGGCAGGTAAGTGACGTGTTGTCTACGTTACTGCACATGGGATGATGGAGTGACAAAGGAAGGGAGACTAGAGGTTCTGAGCAGAAGGTGGGGCAGTCGACACAGAAGACAGAACGAGGGTCCTGTGGCACCTCACTGGAAGCTGGGGTGGTGGGGCATGTGAGTGATGTGTTGTCTACATTACTGCACAGTGGGGGGATGAGAGCAGAAAACAAGGGATTCATGCAAGCATGTGAGTGACCAACACAGAAGACCGAGAGCCGGCCCCTGAGGCACTACACAGGAGGCTGGGGTGGTTGGCCAGGTGAGTGACGTGTTGCCTACATAGCTGCACGGTGGGGGGATTGTCGGAATCAGTAGGCAAAAGTTTAGAACAGAAAAGAGGGGTTTGGACTAGCAGCAGCAGGATACATATAGGAAACGCTAAATTGGGCTGTACTCGCTACAGAGTACCCATGCAGGCTAGACAAATACAACATTCTGACACACCCCCATAGCCAAAGTGGGGTGTAATCAGCACAATAAGCAGGCAGAGCAATAGTTCACAATGATAAGCAAAGCTAGAGGCTATCACAGAGGGCAAGTGAGGAGGAGGAGGGACTGTGAGAGGAGTGGAGATAGGAGGTGACAGGTGAAGCCGCAGACACACGGGCAACAGGAGCGGCGCGCATGGTGGCTACCATTGGCAAGGGCCCCGGACTACAGGAGTAACTGGCTCCGCGGCTAAGACGAGCGGCAGGAGCAACTGACCCACGGACAACTGGCGCAGCAGGCTCGCTGGGCTACCAGTGGCAAGGGCCCCGGACTACTGGCGCTGCTGACGTCACGACGGCTACCTCCGCTCAACCTCCCCCAACTGTCCCACACCCCTTTCACACACCCCTTGCTGTACCCCTAGCCCTGCTCACACACCACTCCGACGGCTCCCACACATCCACCCCCCTCAGCGGCAGCTGCAGCAGTGGGAGACGGAGGAGGAGGAGGAGCAGGGGACGGCGCACACACCCCCAGACTTGCCACCCCCAAACCCTAACACAGGCAGCACGGGGCAGGAGCGCGGGCAGCAGCGGGGGTGGTGCTCGTGCTTAAGCGGGACGGCGCGCGGCTCCCCAGGGCGCCGCGACGGGGCAGCGGGGGCCGCGCGCGGCTCCCCAGGGCGCCGCGACGGGGCAGCGGGGGGCCGCGCGCGGCTCCCCAGGGCGTCGCGACGGGGCTGCGGGGGCCGCGCGTGGCTCCCCAGGGCGCCGCGACGGAGCAGCGGGGGCGACGCGCAGGCCCGTGGGGCGACGCGACGGAAGCCCGGGGCGACGCGACGGGCTCCCGGGGGGCGACGCGACAGTCGACCGGGGGGGGGGGGGAACGCGCGGGTCCCCGGGGTGACGCGCGAGGCAGTAAACTGCCGCGCACCTCGGGGCGCACGGTGGGCAGAAAACCGCCACGCGCCCCGAGCGCGTGGCGGGAAGAAAAAACGTCGCGCGCCACGGGGCGCGCGACAGACAGGAAAGCAGCGGAAGCAGGTGGGCCCATAGGCCAGGAGCGTAACCGCTCTAATAGCATGTCGGAATCAGTAGGCAAAAGTTTAGAACAGAAAAGAGGGGTTTGGACTAGCAGCAGCAGGATACATATAGGAAACCCTAAATTGGGCTGTACTCGCTATAGAGTACCCCATTGCAGGCTAGACAAATACAGCATTCTGACAGGGATGCGGTAGGGAAACAAAGAATGCACAAAGTAGTGAACAACACAGAAGTCGGAAAAGGGGTCTTGAGGCACCTCCCAGGAGGCTGGGGTGGTGGGCTATATGAGTGACGTGTTGTCTACATTACCGCACGGTGGGTTGAGGGAGTGAAGAAGAGAGAATGGTGGGCGGGCGGAACGGGGGGTTGACGCGAAGAGTCAAATGAGGAGAAGCAACTCCCATTGCTGAAGAGGGGACTCACACATCTGTGGGTCCATTCCAGAAGAGGGGACTCGAAGGTGTAGCTTTTCTTCCTCTCTGTGCAGGTGGCATGGCAACTCATAGGTAGGCGAGGGTGGTGAGGGAACCGACCGCGGGTGGCGGGAAGAGTCGACTATGGCAAAGCAATGTAATGCGCACACACATTGGTGGAGGAGAGTCACAGGTTGGGTTGAGATTTCTTTCCTCTGTGTGCAGGTGGCAAGGCAGCTCACAGGTATGCAAGGGTGGTGAGGGGGCCGAGAGTGGGGGGAAGAGTTGACTATCGAAAAGCAACGCGCACACACATCGTTGGAGAGTCACAGGTTGAGTCGAGGTTTGTTTCCTCTGTGTGCGGGTGGCAAGGCAGCTCACAGATAGGCAAGGGTGGTGAGGGAATCGTGGGTGGCGGGAAGAGTCGACTATTAAAAAACAACTCGCACCTTTATTTATCTTTGCGTTTGGTGGGTTAGTATAAATTATGTGCTTGTCTTTGTTTGTGAACAACCTTCATGAATACATCTTCCATGAGAAAAGGTTCCTCTATCAACGTATTGACATGAAAATTATTTCTTGATAATTGATCAACGAGATGCTGCGCGTTTAAAGCCAGGGTCTCATGTACGGGTTGGCCGTGCAACTGCAAAGCACTTGGGTGAAAAGTGGGTTCTTTGGTGAGTCTTGATTTGACAAAACTTTGGCCCCCGAAATAGTAAACCAATCAGACAGGCCTTCTTTTTGTTGGAAACAGTAAATCCTAAGCGCCTCTGTCGTGTCGAAACATCACACCAGAAGCGAAGCAAACCATTTTGAGGCACACGCGAGTCAACCCTCGGAGGTTGAAAGAGGTTGCCGGAGGTTACGCGAAAGTCAAAGGTCAGCGACCTTTGACCTGACAAGTACAGCGCGACAGCAAGGACACACAACTGACTCGCTACAGAGCAGTTGCCCGAGTCGTCACTGTATCGAACCGCAACAGCAACAGTAAAGTAGTTATAACCGTATCCTTTCATATTCCTTGTACTCATATATAAATGCTTGTATCTCTTTGCTTTAATCAACTTACTTTGCCCTCACATACCAGCGCAAGGTGGTTCACAAGTTTCTCCATTAAACGCTTCCGCTATTACAATTATCCTACCCCGAATTTACCCCTGCAAAAGATCCTAAGGGCTGTCTCAGCCCAACATGGTATGAGAGCTATCAGGGGAAATTCAACTACTGTCAAATCATCAACAGACGACATGGCAACATACAAGGAGAGGAGTTCCTCTAATGGTTCTCCCGGGACTACTCCTACCCCACCTCCTGCCTCTGGCCTGCAGACAGAGGAAGGAACCGCAACGGGACCAGCAGCGCCTTCAGCCAGCCAGCCTGCCAACTTCGACCAGAGTATGATGGAGAAGTTTTTCTCCTTCATGTTATTTTACGAGCAACACCAGCAGTCGGCACCTGCGCAGTCAAACAACAGCAACAACAACAACGTGACTCCAATGAGTCTTGATGGCTCATCATATGCGCGCGGAAATCAGCAACAACCTACCTTTGCTCCGTATGAACGCGGGTCCATCAGCTTCATGCCGCACCCGCAAGCTCCATCTGGACAAGAAAAACAACTGGATGCACTACAAGTTCAGTCGCAATTCGCGCACGTCTTAAAGCTGCAGACGTCAAGGCCCTTTGACGGAAAAGACTTCTTTACCTGGTCGTTTGAATTCGAGTTGATGATGGAAGGCGCGCAGATACTTGGCTTCTTCGACGGGTCTGTGCCATACCCAACAAACGGCACACAGTATGAGAAGCAGCAGTATACATATCAGTCGATGATGGCGTATACGATCCTACTGAGAAATATCACCCCAACTCAGCAGCAGAACATACGGTCTTACCGGGGATTCGGCAACTCCGCGGAACTCGCGTACAAGCACCTGAAGGACCTGTATCAAGCAACAGATAGCGTCAGTCAAAGTCGGCTAATGGCGCAACTGACAACGGTCGAAATGAAACCAGGCGAAAAAGGAATGGCATATATCAGCCGATGTCGCGAACTGCGCGACAAGCTTCTTCGATGCGGAGGGTCAATCTCTGAAGACGCCTTCGTGACAGTCATCATCGGCGGCCTCGGTCCTCAATGGCGCGCAACAAAGGCCATTCTCCGAGCCCACGGAAGAATCTCCGAAGCAGCGCTCTGCGCCGAAATACACGCTGAGCAGCAAGACATGGACCTGCAAGAAGAACGACACAAGAGAAAGACATCAGTACCGGAATTCGCGTTCCACACTCAGCGACGGTACAACAACAACAGCAACCGACAACAACCAAAACCCGTACCTCCGTTCTGTCACATCTGCAAGACGTCTGGGCACCCACGCACGCACTGCCCAAATCGACAACAGTCAACGCCACCACACCGACAACTTCGACCTTCAAGCAGCCAAGTTGCCTCAACGCAAGTGAATCCCACGACCCAGATTCAAGCCTCAACACCACCTGCGG